TGTAAATAAGTAACACTAATTATATATTTATAAAATATTTAATATGAATTAATATTAGTATAAAATGATTATATCCCAATTAATAATTAACATTATTAAAATGCTTATTAATTATCATTAATTAATTAACATTTTGAAGTAATAATATAATCATTAGTATTAGTAATATTTAATGTTAATTAATAATAATAATATAATTATATTAATTAATATAATATTATTAATTATATAAATGTATGAATTATAATTTCTGATAATATTTATAATATAAATAATTAACACTAAATATTTATTTTCAAAATAATTAATATGAGTTAATATAAATATAAAATGATTATTTCTGAATTGTTAATTACCATTATAAAAATATTTATTAATTATCATTTCAAATTAATAATGAGCAATATTGTCAGTAATAAATTATCAGTAATTATTATAAGAAATTATTTTCCGAATTAATAGTGAGCAATATTATCACTAATTAATTATTATCAATGAATAATTATTATTAGTAATTAATAGCTTGAATTAATTAATTAAAAGTAGTTAACAATAATTAATTTTCAATTAACAATAATTATTATTAGTAATTAATAACTGTAATTAATTAATCAGAAGTAGTTAACAATAATTATTATTAGTAATCAATAGTTGGAATTAATGAATTAGCTTAGCACAATTTCCTTTTTTTTAGGAAAGGATTGAAAGTGGGAGCTTCTCACTTCTCACAACTCTGCATGATGGTGGGCTCCACTTTGCATGTTCGTGGGTTCTTTCTTGAGCTACCACTAATCAGAATTTGACACGTGCCCACTTTGTTTAAATCTTTGAAATGACAGGTGTTTGAATGTAGATGGGCCACTATAGGAGACTTTGACTTGAAACCATTTCTTTAATATATATATATATATATTAGATTTGGGAGTATTTCCTTTTTTTCCAATTTCTTAATAATTTTTTTTAATCCATTTTTTACACACTTTAGGCCAAATTCTAGTCACAACAAAATAAGGTTAAGTGAGATCACCAAAGAACGACTTCTACACCTTTAAGTTGGAGCAACTTCACTCGAGACCCCATCATGGAATGTACATTAAAATTTAGAGATTACGGCTGCATTTGGAAACGATGCAAATAGAGTGTAAATCCCGGTTCAGGATAAATTTGCACTCTGGTTCACTTTTGCTTGTGTTTGGCAACATTACATTTATGCATTGACAAATGATGGACCAATGCATATTTACATTGACAATAAGATGTAAAAGTACATAAAAAAAGAAGTAAATATGCATTTAAGTGGGCTTTTGATAAAAAAAAAAAACATATGCTTTATTGAAATTCATGTTTGCATCCATTACAGCTAAAAGTCTGTTTCGTAAGAAGGTAAATTTGTCATTGCAAAGCTAACCCAACTTTACAATTTATATGAATCATTTTACACTATACATATTTGCATTCACACTTATTTGCATCGTTTCCAAATTCAGCCTAAAGACCAATTACCCCTTGGTAGGTTGGCTTGGTCGTTTTCTCACAAGAAGGTTAACAAGTCAATTTTAAACAACTTATGCATGGGTTATTCTTTTTCCTTTTTTTTTTCTTAAGGCTGCATTTGGAAATGATGCAAATAAGAGTGAATGCAAATATGTAGAGTGTAAAATGGTCCATATAAATTACAAAGTTGGGTTAGTTTTGCACTCACAAATTTACCTTTTTATCAAGCAGACTTTTAGCTGTAATGGATGCAATACTAATTCCAATAAAGCATATGCTTTTTTTTTTTTGTTTATCAGAAGCCCACTTGAATGCAAATTTACTTCTTTTTTATTGATGTACTTTTTACATCTTATTATCAATGTAAATATGCATTAGAAAATGTATTTTTTGTCATTTGTTAATGCATAAATGTAATGTTGCCAAACATAGGCAAAAATGAACTAGAATACAAATTTACCCTGAACTGGGATTTACACTCTATTTGCATCGTTTCCAAACACAGCCTAAGTTTTATCAAGGTGCAAATGAATTACCAACTTAGGGCCACTTTACTAACAAAGAAGACAATTTGGAATGCAACATTTGTTATTTTTATATTATTTTTTAGAAGAAAAGGGGATTAGGAGTACTTTCATGATATTGGAAAGCGGATGTTGAAGAACTATAAGATGATCCTTATCACTAAATCAGTTCTAAACATTGGTTGGAGTATAGAGGACCTGCAAGGCTTGCAAACAAAGACTGGAAACTGGAAAGTTTATACATAACCTTGTTTAGAGGGTGGGATAGTCAAAGGATGAGTCGATAGTGTCTAGACTAGACTAGGTTGACTCAGGAATCTGTTTTACCCTAAAATTGTTTTTAAGCCAAAATTCATTGATTTGATTAACAACCCATTGACCCAGGGGATCGTTCTAAAGAATAGTTTTAGCTGTTTTTTAATTTTTTATTTTTTAAATAAGAACAGGTCGTCCATTTGAACTGGACAATCAAACCATTCGACCCCCCAAAATGGTTGGTCCGGTTTAAGATTAAGACGATGCAAAGGTATATTCTCAGATAATCACGTTAAGTATGTGTTCATTGACAACCATTCTAATGCCTTTAATACGGAGTATTGAATAGCTCCCAAACCACCCTCAATTTTGACCCACCAACCATTCTAATGCCTTTATTCACCAAAATTTTATTTTACAATATAATGTAGTTCATGCATCATAGATTTTTGCAAAAAAAAAAAAATGGAGGCTATTCGGGTGTTGTCAATGCTATATTCAACCTATGGTTAGAACTTGAAGAGTTGAAGATTATTCGGATGAAATGATAAATATATACACTACGTATACAATATAATTAGGGCAAATTTTTTAAAGTAACTTTATGATTTAGGAAATTGACTAATTATACTCTTACTATTTACATATTGTCTTAAAGCATCCTTAAATTTTCTAACTATTGACATCATCATCAAGTATTAACGGAAAAAACAAAATGTCATATTTATCCTCTACTATTTATCAAATTTTCAAAAAAAAAAATCTACTAATGAAAATTTTCAAAAGCTGGAATAAGGCTACTTGTAAAGGGGCCGTCTAAGAGAGAGAGGTCACGGGTGACAAATTGCATTGACTGGGCATACGGGAAACAATTTGGAGAGTGCTGTAGAGGCATCTCCGGTCAATTCATTCAGTGCTAGGTGTCTGAGACGTGCTCGGCACATTGAAAGGCTGCACACACGGTAATGTTAGTGATGAGCAATAGCATGCAGCAATGCAGCTCGTAAGCTAATATGGTGTTTGGAAGTATGGGCGCTTTTTGAGACTGATTTCAACAAAAAACACCCATGCTTCTAAAACCTGTTTTTCACAAAAAAATGCTTCTGCCATATAGGCAGTGAGCAACACCATGCTATTTGGTAAGGTGATTTTTGTCATCGTTTTATCGCCGTTTTTATCACCGTTTTTCATGTATGCTATTTAGATGATTCAAAATTGCAAACTGTCCAGAAGTGATCGACATGAAAATTGGAGCCACCACTGTAAATTATAGTGGGTGGTGCACCGGTGAGAGAAGATAACTGAAAGAGGGTCTTCTAGAGTTGCTTTTTCAAATCCTGCACTCTTTCTTGACGACGAGTTTTTGATTAAAGCAATTTGGGTCATCAGGGATTATGTATTTGGCTGACCGGTGTATTGGGTTAAGTTACTACCTGGTTTAAGGATAATATTGAGTTTTAAAAAAGTTTTATATGTTATGTTGTCTCATGTGCATGGATTGCAATGGAACATTAATGGACGCTAACGGTAGAGATAGAATAAGTCAATTGGCATAAAACTTAAATATGTTTTAAGATAATATGTAAATAGTAAGGATAAAATTAATCAATTTTCTAAGTCATAGGGATATTTTAAAAAATTTACCCATATATATATATTACATATAAAATACGATATATTATTTAATTGATATAAATGCATGTTTATATATAATTTGCTTATGTGTGACCCGTTCGATCCATATATAAAACAGTTCAGATTTTTAAAATACTGATTTAATCAATAGTTATGGCATTATGAATAGATTTTCCAGGTTGATCGGGTCAAGAAAGACTCTCCGGATCTCATACCCACAATAACTCTATCTACAAAACACTACCTCTACCCACAAAACACTACCTTGATATATTAAGAACATCTTCTGTGTATATTACATGTAAGAGTATGAGATGTTTCCATACGTGGTTGAGATTTTAAGTGGGTAAGAACTAAAATTTCCGATTCGTTGGGAGAGGGAACAGGATCATGCACATCCACTGTGCATTAGGAACATCTCCCGTTAACAATTACTTATATCACGGGAGGTGTTCTGGTAGGATGTGCATGTGAGACGCTCTATGTGAGGAGCAAATACGATCTCTCGGGGGAGGAAATGCCGTCCGCAGGCGCAGTTGTACGTAATAAATTAACAATCTCACCCCACCCCACTAAAGTAGTAAACAAAGAATAAAAAACACAGCTATGCAAAACAAAGTAAACAAAGTGAACAACCCGTCCAAACTAACAAATCTGACCGTTAGTTGTCTCCTCCGAAGTCAAATGTTCTCCCCTTCTGACTCTCTGAAAGGTAGCGGGACAAGCAATTGAACACTCACACAGTTACACTTCACAGCTTACTAGTCTAGGTAGCCATGAGGATATACCTACAGAAGAGACAACGAAATTACAACAACAGCCACTAATTTCTCAGAAATTTCAAAAAACCACACCTTCAATATCTTAAAGTGACCAAGATGCCCTCGTCAACCCCCATTCATTAGATCAATTCGGAGGCTAATTTCGGTCGAACAAAAATCGAGGCACCATTCTGCAAATTGAATATTCATTCATATAATGAGATTGTCCTTTGTGATTGAATGGTAGGCTACGCTTCACATAACTCTACCTTCCAATTCTCACCTTACATAAATACAATTCGAGATACAGCTCACAGCCTCATCAGTCATCGTCCAATCGAGAACAGAAAACCAAATGGGTCGCCTGAAAATCCAACTCGCCCTTGTTTTTTCGCTCTGGGCGTCGATTTCCGGCATCTGCTGGTGTCTCCCGAACGAGTTCTCGATAGTGGGTTACGAGCCGGAAGAGCTGCTGGGCTCAGAAGAACGAGTGTCTGAGTTGTTCGGGCGATGGAGAGAGAAGCACGGGAAGGTTTACAGACACGCGGAGGAGTTGGAGAGGAGATTCGAGAACTTCAAAAGGAATCTCAAGTATGTTATGGAGAAGAACTCGAAGAGACGATCGTCGGGGCATTTGGTGGGGTTGAATGGTTTCGCAGATATGAGTAATGAAGAGTTCAGGGAGAAGTATTTGTCGAAGATAAAGAAACCGGTGGAGAAGAGGAAGAAGAACAGTTCGTTAAGGAAGATGTCCTCGTGCGACGCGCCTTCGTCGTTGGATTGGAGGAAGAAGGGAGTTGTGACTGCGGTCAAAAATCAAGGCGACTGTGGTAAGTCTTCACTCGTTTCTCAGTAGTTCATTTTTTCTTTTGGACCTTTCTGGTTCCAATGAGGTCGGCCTTTGCTGTGTGCTGTTGTAGTATAGTCTGACGAACGTTGGATGGGAATAAGTATTGTGTCCATCAATATGATCATCCAGATCCCGATTGTTGTCAGTTTGGTTCGCGAGAATAGGGGTCCAGTAATGGTCCAGTGGTCCAGCCATTTGGGGCATTTCTAGTTCTACAATCTACAATATGATTGTTTTTGTTTACATTAATATAACCGTCACATAAAAAAAATTTAAGGACATGTTTTTTGTTTTTCTTGTGTTTTGTTTTAAGAAATAATCTGTTTTTAAATCAGATGGTTTTGATTTGTTTTTGGAACCGGTAACAAGAAAAATAATTCAGGTTGTAAAATGTCCTCTTACTTGGGTCGGAATCCCATTCTTAGTGGAATGACTCTCTCTCATTTAAGGGAATGGCCATTCTAGCCTCTCTCAATGAGCCACAAAAGAATAAAAAAGAGAAGGGAAAATCTATAATACAGAAAAGATATGATATGGAAAAAGTTTTGATCGATCAAAACCCACCCATGAATTTTGATAAATAACCACGTTTATAATTCCAATTTATTGGTCAGTTGTTATTCCAATATCATATCTTTTTCATATCATAGTGGAACCCGAGAAACAAACAGTTAAAAAAAGTAAGAGAGAGAGACAAGTGACTTCAAAACCTCAAACCCTATTTCTCTTTACCTAATACCAATTCTCCTTAAAAATTCTACATATTTTATGATAATCCGATTCCAATTTCTATCTGAACCAAACAGTCAAGGGAATAGGTGATTTCAATGGCCAACCAAACAGACACTCAGTGTATTGGTAGTTGGTAATGTATAGAGTGATCATCACATGGGGTATTACATGAACCGGTTCACGAGGGGTTTAAGACTTTTTAAGGCCCGACGTAGCACTGGTCCGGACCGTTAATTTTTGGAGAATGATATCTAATAATCAATAAGAAAGGTACATAATACATTTGGGGGGCCCAGATGTCAGGAACCATAGATCCAGATGACTGACGAAGAAAAAAGAAATCTAGATGAGTAAAGAACTGGGGTAGGTTTCAGGTCAAGTCTGTAGCTCAGCGGTGCACATGCGCCAGACTCATCAGAAAAAAAAAGAGTCCGGATCTACTAGAGATTGAAGTTTATAGCCCGTTGTACACGTCTTGTTTCTAGTTTCTAAGTAGATCTGGACTTCCGGAGTTTCACCCATAGAGGTGTAAAGTGGGCCGTGCCGGGCATGGGTGGCCCGCACAAAGTGCAGGCCATACCGTGCTGGCCCACGGGCTGTTACAGGTTGTGTTGCCCTCCCCGATGAAAAATTTGGGGGTCGGCCTGGCATGGCCCACGGTCCAGGCCCATGTGGGCCCGTGCCGTACCGTGGTCTGGATTGGCCCATGGGCCAAATCTTGGGCCAGGTCGGGCCAAAGTCATTTATTTAAAAAAATTGATAAAAAAACTTAAAATTTTAATTTTATATGAATTTTGTGTATACAATTGCTTATATATAGAATAATTAAATAAATTAATATAATAAAATTAAAAATTTATTTATTTCATTAATATATTATATGCTATATATTATTATATAATTATAATTTATATAATATATATAAATATATATAAAATATGTATAAAATATATACATGGGCCGGGCTACGAGCTGTGCAGTGCTAGCCCGTGGACCTAAAACCCTAGGCCCAGCATGGCCTGCATGATCGTGCCAGGCCTGGCACGGCCCGATTTACACCTCTACTCACCCATGGTCTAGGCATGTGCTTTAGAGTTTAGACTTTAGACTAGTGGGTGATCCTCAAATGGGCCTGCCTGCTTTGCTCTTTTCAGAATGTCTGAATTTTGAGGTACAAGCCTAGGAGGTCAAGCCCAATTATCTAGAATGGGCCCGTGGGAATGTGGGAGTCCAAATCCAATGACATTTCGGGCACAATTTGACATTGTTTTAGTAAATCTGAGAGACTCACTGCCATTGTTTTAGTTAGGATGCTTCTGCTTTCAGCACATTTTGCTTCAGCTGGCAGTCCTTTGAGGCCACATGTCATGATTCTACTGGTCCAAGCATGAAGGCCTAGCTTAATTGCTGCACAGAATTCTCACAATTTCCTGTATGTTTCTGGGTTAAATGTTGATAGGTAGCTGCTGGTCTTTCTCTTCAACTGGAGCAATGGAAGGAATAAATGCCATAGTCACAGGAGACCTTGTCAGCCTTTCGGAACAAGAGCTTGTAGACTGTGATACGACCAATTATGGATGTGAAGGGGGCTACATGGATTATGCTTTTGAGTGGGTCATTAACAATGGAGGGATTGATACAGAATCAGATTATCCTTACACAGGAGTTGATGGAACCTGTAACACTACTAAGGTCTGCTCTCCTAACCATTTCATACTCAAAATTTCTAATACCTCTTTTGGTTTCTCACCTCCACTGAAATAAGTTGCTCCCATGCTTCTGCTTAAGGCAGATTCCTGTGATTCTTTAGTTCTTTACCACAACACTGCTTCAATAGAATTTGTTCTCTGCCTAATCTATATTTGTTGTGTTGATTAGGAGGAAAGAAAAATAGTAACTATAGATGGCTATGAAGATGTAGCTGAAGAAGAAAGTGCTCTTCTCTGTGCTGTTGTTAACCAGCCTGTTAGTGTGGGGATTGATGGTTCTGCACTGGACTTTCAATTGTATACAGGGGTAAGTTAAAAAACATAAAGTTTTTATAAGTGAACCATTATATTCATATCACCAAAAACCTGAAATATCTAATCCTGCGCTAAATACCAGGGAATTTATGATGGAGACTGTTCAAGCAATCCAGATGACATAGATCATGCAGTTCTGATTGTGGGTTATGCTTCCCAAGGTGATGAAGAGTATTGGATAGTGAAGAATTCGTGGGGGACAAGCTGGGGAATAGAGGGGTACATATATATAAGGAGAAATACTGATTTAAAATATGGGGTTTGTGCAATCAATGCTATGGCTTCTTACCCAACAAAAGAATCTACTTCTCCTTCTCCTTTTCCTTCTCCATCTACTCCACCACCATCACCTCCACCACCACCTCCACCTCCACCTCCATCCCCTGGTCCTTCGCCAAGTCAATGTGGAGACTACTCCTACTGTCCAGCTACAGAGACCTGCTGCTGCATTTTTGAATTCTACGATTACTGTTTCATCTACGGCTGCTGTGAGTATGAAAATGCTGTATGCTGCACTGGAACTAGCTATTGCTGCCCTCAAGATTATCCTATTTGCGACGTTGATGATGGGTTCTGTCTAAAGGTTTGAAATTCTATTTCTATGATAACTTTTAATTGATTTTGCTAATCCAGTGAGACAGGACTCTAAGAATATGTTTGGTTTGAAGGAAAAGGTAGGGAAAGGAAGGGAAACATAGGGAAACCTATGCAAGGTTTGAAAGGGTTTCCCTACATTTCCCTTCCTTTCCCTACTTTTTCCTTCAAACCAAACAAAGCCTAAATGGTTGGAAATAAGGTTGGAAAACTCATGGCTAATGGGAGAGAACAGGGGACAACTTAGCAGAGTTACTTATCAGGTCATTTGAGTTTTCCAACTGTAATTAGAAATAATTCTAGTTATTGGTGAAATGCAACTAATTGGAAAGTGGAACTAGTCAGTCTTCTGAGCTGTCAGGTTGATGGTAGCCATACTCACAGATTACGACAAATAACAAAATGCAATATTCAGGTGGCATTTTACAGCAAAATTTTCTCAGTAGAATCATTTATTTTCTTCCATTTTGCAGAATTATGGAGATTACTTGGGTGTAGCTGCAAAGAAACGTAAGGTTGCCAAGCACAAGTTTCCATGGACTAAATTTGAGGATACAGCAAACCCATACCGACCTCTCCAGTGGAAGAGGAACCACTTCGCTGCGTTGCGCTGAGGATGGCTATAGTGTTCTGTAGTTCCAGGTTCTAAGGTTGTTGCCACTGTCATTCTTTCTCTGCTTTGGATGGCATTCTGCCGTCCTGTTTTTGAAAATTTGTGTTAATTATCTTCGAACTTACGCATGAACTACTATATCATAAAGGGTATCAGATAAAAAGGGAAAAAAAGAAAAAAATATTTGTTTCTTTCCATCTTGCATATTAATCGATGATTGCAGATTAACAGAGTTGCCTGGGTCGTTGTTTAAGTTGTCTCTTCTAACTTCGTCTGCAAAATTTTTAATAAAAGCAAGCTTGGTCAGAGTGTCAGACGTATGCTACCAGCTACCACATCTAAATTGTGTAAGACGTAAAATTCCTGATCACAGTGCTAATCTGGTTGAACCCCTCTTCTGGACATATTCACCAATGTTGTTGCTTGACTCCAACCTACTTGCCGTGGACGTGGATTTTTTAATGCTGTTTAATGTAAACCAGAGAAAGAATTAGTAGATTTTACTGGTCTAAAGAAAGCAAACTACTCTTCCATATCCTGACTTTGTAACATCACAGGCGTTTTCAGAAAAGGGCATAATTTTCTGAGTTTTATTTTTCGTAAACAATTTTTTGAGTTGATTTATGAAAGTTGGATTGATGTTGACATATATGCGACTTGGAATGTATTTGGTTTGGGCGGAAAGAGAGATGGGTTGGAGGTTTTCTTTTTTTATTTTTAGCTTGACACTTAACTTCATTGATGATGCTCAGGGGGAACTTTCCCACAACAGAATACTTCACAAAAGATGGAAAGGATCATGTAGTATGATCATTTCTCAAATAAACACCGCCCCACAGCGCCAAGTAGGCGTTTTGATTCTACTCAAACTAACTTTTTATTTGGTTGGATTGATTCAAGTAAATTGCCTGTACTTTTTTTTCTTTTGCCTCAGGTTTCTGTGACACCACCTTTTTGATAATAAGAAACGGTTTTATACACAGCAACGGTTTTACATTTTTTCCCATGCGACGCTATAAAATAATAATAAGAATTATACACTAGGTTTTATACACAGCAACGCCTACTTCTAAGATTTTTAAGGCAAAATGCAGTTAAATGAGCTTACAGTATTAGCATTTTGGCTAATACGAGAAACTGAGCAAGAGAACTTGGAGACTAACGCCTTGTTTTCCACTTTTGCTCAAGACTCAAAAGGTTTGCTCAAAGCACGATTTTTTTTCATGCCGCAGACAAGCCTTATCTTTTTATATTGGTCCATTTCTCATTCTAAAAAGAATGAGGTGTATGGCAAGATTTGTAACCAAATACTTCGGTATACTTCATTCTTACCACCCTGAATGAGCAAGAATTCCATGAATGAAGTCCACATCAGTGAATCAAATATGGCCTAAATTTTACAATCAGCAACTATGTTATAGATGCACCATTATGGATCCATATTATCCACCAACAAAAGCTGCACCACTTACAAACGGTCTCCTTCAATATGAATTTTATCGATGCCCATCTGCGGAGCAAATTAATTCCCTCTAAATATGACACGCTTCCGTGGTAGGAGGCTCAGCTACTGACAGAGGAATAGCTGGGGCAAACACCATCATTGTAGTCACAAATAATAACACCAGCGCTTGATCTCAACTCACCTACAGTTCCATCAAAATGGGTTGGAAGAATCGGAGAAGAGAACCCAATGCAGCCTTCATAAATGTGATTCCAATGCAAGCAATTCCTTTGTTGCCTTCACATCAAGGTAAGGAGGGGAGATTTTAATTAATTTTGAAGTGTATTTTTAGCTTCTTTAATAGTTATCATGCAAATATGCAGATAGAGATTTTATAAGTACTCTTCTGCAATCTGTAATGTGTTCATTGGTTAGTGACTACCCCATATTAAGTATGGAGCAACTAAACCTATTATTCTGTTTGGGATCAACTAGTCAGGTGATAAATTTGGGTTGAGTTTCCTATTTAACTTGGGGAAAAACTATGCTGCCGGAAGGGCATTGACCAATCAAAACCTCCCACGAATTTTGATAAATACCACCTGATTGGTTATCACTTCTATGATACCGGTTGATTGGTTACAAGTTTTTCTGGTATCATAGTTGAACCTGTTGCACAAAACCCAGAAATACAGATTTGAATGGCACCCAAAAACAAAAACAGAGATAAAGAAAAGCAAACAAAGAGGACACACAAAATTATGTGGTTCGGCTTATAGCCTATGCCCAGAAATCCACTATGTAATCTGCACTGGTGAGATAACTACTCTCAACTATTTTGAGAGTGAAGGTAACGAAATGTCTCCCCCCCGCAAAAAAGAAAAAAAAAAAAAAGAAAATAAAAAGAATCTCAGAGTGGATACATTTTTCTGTTAGGAGATCGATCATGTGTCTCATGAAGAAGCCCTATGGTCTGAAGGCCTTGATAGATATGCTTGAAATGCTAGTCCAGTAAAAACTAGAAACCCCTGCTTTCTGAAATCCAAAGATATTACATGTTCCCATAAACATATGAAAAATTGGAAGGATTTTGAACATGTCCAAAAGAAATTTCTGCTCGTTCAATCAGTTTTCATCCACCAGTAGTGGTAATGTATTCATATTTCCAAGGTAATATTCAGGTCAAATAAGGTTCGTTTGCCTTCTTGATTACTTTAAGTTCAACTCTCAACAATATTTCTAGTGTCTACCAAAAGAAACAACTCTTCCTCTGTTCAACATTTAGCAGAACATCAAACCACAGGGTCTTCTATGAAAGTGGCTTGAGCTGACTTCTATAGACTGGCCAGGTTACAAACTAATCGTTTCCTGGACAAGCACAGCACAAGCCACTTATACAACTAGTAAAATTTGGTTCTTATGTGACTAACTAAACTGTACAAACAATAATCATCTAAGGATAGAAACTTAACAGTTTTTTTAATATTAAGTTTCAAAATTGTGTTATAGATCAAGGGGAGTACATGAGAAGATGTACAAGAAGGATAGAAAAAGATCTGCCCAAAGGTTACTCTGGCAGAGATTTGTCACTATACAAAGAATCCCTCTGAGCCCCAGCTTTAGCTAGCTGTGTCCAATTCATCCCCCAGATATCCATCTTAGATGGGCTTGAAGAAAATAGATAGTCTTTTATCTCATTCAGTAGGTGAGCTAGATGCTGGGTACTATCCAATTCAATTGCTCCATCTTATGGTGTTTAAAGAGTCTCCTATAGAAGTGGGAATGAAACCTTGCTGTTTAGTCTGTAGGTCAGCTAAGAGAGCAGAAACTTTTTCTTCAGTAGAATTTGTAAAGCCAATGGGTCCTCTGTAAGCACAACAGATATTCCCATCTGCCCCATGGAGAACTCCTCCAATTCCAGCTGCTCCTGGAATCCCCCTAGAGCTGCCATAAAATTGAAGTTTGAAGTTACATTGTAATGATTCGAGGGCAAGGCCAGTGTGGCTGGTGATGTAGAATAGTGATCAGGTTTCTTCTAAGGTTATCCGTAGTTACTCCATAGTGTTCAGAATCTGGTCTCGCAGACCTTAATGGGGAACGCCTTATCATTGAAGATCCTGTTATTTCTTTCTTCCTGTAGGTATATAGTGCTCGCTTAGATCATCAAAGTGCAGAAGACACTAAATTGGTACCACATGGACACATGCGATGAGTTCATAACTCATCGAACGACTGTGATGAACATACGACTCGTCACATGTCCGCGATAAACTTGTACTTGACACAAGTTAGAATAAACACTGGCTGATGTGAACCTGCGACAAAGGCTAGACGTACGCGGTTCTGCGATAAACTTTGAACGCCCGCGGTTCTGCGATGAACTTCGGATACACACGGTTTTGCGATGAACCTGAGATTATTACAGAACTGTGGATCACTGTGAACCAGAATTAAATATCGACTGCACGTGCAACTTTAAGTCATGCGCGTGATTAGGCACCACGAAGGTTCAATAAAATACACCTGTTAGATAGTGACGTCACCAACGCCACGTTGGTTAAGTAGGTCACGAAAGGAAGTAGCACACGCAGACTATGGGAATCCTCAGACGAAAGGAAAGTCGGTCCTTGAGAGATCTCATAAGACATGCGGCGAAACCCTAGCAATGCTCCTTAATGACCAACAACGAATCTAATAATCCCTTTCCTAATGGGAATCAAACTCTTTCAACGCCTTCCTTTCGGGACCTCGGGATCCCTCCTTATAAATGAGAGTCCATCCCATGATGAGAGGATCATTCGAATCATTCAATCTTCCTACCCTGCTCCCTTATCACTTCCATTTACCCTAATCTCCAAACCCTCAACCTGCACCCGGTCTTCATCCTTCAAGGAGACCCCCAAGCGTAGCCTTACCACCACACCTACACTTCCCATACACTTTCTACAGTCTCACATGAGAAATAGCTTTCTGGTAGATCCTCCCTCTTTGCCCCAGCTCACAGCCGTTTCATTGCCAAAGTCATTAACAGTTCTTGGAATGACTCACATGTAGCCCACTAAATTAAGAAAGAAGTGCCATAACTGCCTAGCTTCCACACAATGGATATAAAGGTGATAAATGGACTTGCCATCTTGGAGGTACATGATACAAAACATGGGGAGAAATCCTTTCTTTGGTGCACATCACAAGTATTTAATTTTCCAAGGCTGACCTCCCAATAGGAAAAAGAGATCCTTATTCCTGAGAGGGATCAAGAAATCCAAATCCTATGTGCTGGAAAAGCTTTCATGTTATACTATATATAATGGCAATTGAAGGAGCTAGTAGAGAATTGGCCATAAGAGTAGAGAGTTCAAATGTGATGATCAGGGGTGGAAGGGGACAGGTATAACTCCTTGAGAGCTTCAAGGAGATAGGTGGTTTCTACTACTTCAGACTCCCTAAGAGGTTGGATTAGGTCAAGGTTTCCTTGTATTGCAGTTATGGGCCAAGTCCAAAGATATGAGGTTATTTGATAGCAAGAAACTTTCCCCAACCAAACATCAGTTGAAAAAAGCAATTCAATTACCATTTCCCACACCATATCTTGTGAATAAAACGAAAGAATTATTAGTGGAGAGTATGCATTTCCAAGGATTGGAAAACCTGAGTCAGTTCGAGTGAAACCCAACTTACTTTATAAGAGAAATACTAGAAATAATCTTGTTGTGAATGCAACAGAAAAAAAAATTTGGCATACAGTAAATAATAACTTTTTCTTTACAAATATGCTTTACAATATCCAAAATTCATAGGTTCATAGGTTCATGCAGCCACAAAGAAAGGTGAAAGAAAGTGCTCATCTACATGCACAATATGCATGAAACAATGTAAAAGGAGAACCAAAAAGTATTCTTTTGAAAACAATACTGTTCCATAATGAAAGCCTGTAAAAAGTTCACTTAACACGTGGTAGAACTTCTAGAGATAGAGATACACCTTGGCTTACTGGAGAAGTGCTACAAATATCAGCACCCAGTGCCCTTATTTGTCCCCTTTGTAGGTGGACAGCAACCTTGGACCAGATAGAACCATCCTATACTTAGTTATATCCACTTGTTAGTTCAGTTCAAACTTTCTCTCTACTACACTTTTCCTTGTTATTAAAACTCTGTATTAGTCATGTTAACATGCAAAAAAGAGATAGTGCAGCAGAAACTAGAACAATTTTTGCTTTCTGAAACAAAATAGAAAGGAATCTCTAATCACATATGATTACATAAAAAACCTAGGAGGCTTGTGAGCATCAGTCACATTTCAATAGTGCAATAAATTCATGATCTAGTTGTTGTTGTATTAGCTACAGCTTAAGAAATAATAATTTTGAATAAACTTGCTTCTTGGCTATCTGTAAACCCAGAGTTTAAGCACCAGAATGTTTTTCAGCTGCTTTGCCCTCAATCTGTTTGGAATTTGTAAGCTGGCTTTCCCCGTGGTGAGGTCCATCGGGAAGCTGTTGTAATATTTTCCTCTATTATCAATAAAATTTCTTACTTTACCTTTCGAATTTCCTTATTTCTTAGTTGTCTGCTGGGTTTATTTCAGAGTTTTGAGGTTCAATTCTCCACAACTATTTTCAGCATTTACCAGAACATGGCAGCATAACGATCACTTTTGAAAGTGGGCAATGATGGAATTATCTCTGTATATCTGCACTCTACCTGTAAGAGTTGGAGTGTTTGAAGGTTCAATTTATGTCCCCATCACTGGAAAAAAGTCCATATGGTGGTTCCTGATCATCATCAGAAGAGAACCTCTCATGTTGAAGGAAATAGAGAGGAAGCTTGGGGAGGGAGACGAAGCAGAAGAGATGGTCCCATTTTGGTTTGGTTGCTTCACTATTGCTAAGAGATGATCCCCCATCTCACTAGGGTGCAATTTGGGCCGTCTTGTTGGGTTAAGCATTTGTTAAATTTTGACCGAGTCCAACCCTGATGCAGCAGAAAATCTTTAAATCGAGTACCTGATTTGCAACCCTATCTTGCACCCCAAACCCATCCCCTGATCCCCCAAAAAAGGTTGGGCTTAACAGATTCACAACATCTAGACATGTGAAGATATGCCTATTTTTTTTTGGCAAACAAGTATGACTAGTGTACATTATAGATTTTTTTCGCCCTTGAAACCAATGCTTCTTAAAGGGAATAAACTTAAGCATAATGTCTGATTTTTTGTTGATGTGGTGACATATGGCATTAAATGTTGAAAAGGAACACTTAATTTTTGCTGCAAATTCAGTATTTTGCAGTAGTATTGGATAAGAAAAATAACCATTTATTTATGGGACACCAACACAATAGATTCTAAGAAAAATATCAAAGAACGACTTATAGATCTATGGAAGTAATTGAAGCATAGTAAAAATTAAAATGTATGAAAGCTCCTCTAGAACAGCTCAGATTGAAGCAAGCAAAGAATCAACTAAGTTGATATTATCTAAACCTGCTTCTTTTGATAATGTAAAGCTGATGCAAGAAAAGCCCTCCGAGCAGGAAAAGATCTTCTGTTGACTTCAAAGCCCAAGCTGAGGTGTCGTTTTCTGTTGCAGTGCTGCTTTATTTGATCATAAAGAATGGTATAATTTCTACTGCTGACATTCCTAAAGTAGCATCCATCTGTCCCATCGTATGTATATACCTGCTGAGTGCTTCCCAAACCACTGGTTACCAAGTTCCCCTTTACAATCATAGAACCCTGTCCGGTCTGCAGATTTTTGAGAAAGCCACTCGAGAAACCCAAGGGGCCATGTGAAAATATATCCTGGTTGAACCCCAAAGACAAGTTTGAAACTGAAGCGTAGGTGCCATTTCCTTGATCCAAAAGGTCAGTGTACAAATAAAGTGGGAACCTTCGAGATACATCGATTAAATATAAATCAGATAGGAGCCTCTCATAAACACTGGTATTAGCATCTATTGTCTGGTTCACTATCTGCTGATTCCCATCGTTCCCAAACTCCATCATGTTTCTGTAGACGAAGTCTTGGTTTGAATGGGTTGTGATGTTTCCATGGGAAGATTTCAACCACCCAGATGAAAAAATGGACCTACTTGCAGTAGTAAGGAAATTTCCATCAAGCCCTTTGAAATCTGAAACTAAGGTGAGCATAAGAGGTTGGGTACTATACTCAATCAGCTCTCCTTCAGTTCTTTTACTGTCTTTATCCAACCAGACGTGCAAATTTGCATCTATGAACCACACGCTAAGAGCATTTGTTACACTGAACCCGAACTGGTGCTGCTTCCCATCCAAAATCTTTCCTAGGAATGGAGTAATATCAATATCATAGGAAGGGAGATCAAACGATCCAATTCCAGTGATTGGTCTCCATAGTAGGGGATTGACCCCTCCAGTATATATCACGGTAAAAGGCCAGACAGCACCAACTACAGTGCCATCAAGACTAACCACAACCTCTCTGAAAGGTCCATTCCCTGGTGTCCCTGTAAGATTGTTTGCAGCTATGTAATTATTGGGAGGATTCCCATACCAGAATTCATCATCTGAATGGAAAGAAACATAAACCTCCAATATAGCTCTATAAGCATTCCGGGGAACCGAAAACTGCTTCAATTGGACATCCGTTGAGTTCTCAACCAGAAACCACAAACCATCATTCAAGGGGAGATTTCGCGAAATGGGCAATACCAGATCGGCCGGAGAGTTAAACCTATTAACTGAATTCACCCATTTTGGCTTATGGAAACGGAAAGGTTCCTCCGCAGGCCAAAAGTGGAATGTGATATTCACATGGTAAATTCCAGTGTAGGTTCGATCAACAAGGTTACCCAGATAAACAGCTAGTGTTTGGGGGTCCTTAAGCAATGAAGAGTACCTCGTGATGTCCTTCTTGACCGTCCAAACGATTCCAGTGGCTCTAGGTTCAGCTGTGCAACTTCGAAGAAGCTCAACTCCACCCAACCAAACACCAAAGATGCGATCAAATTGTCTTCCTTTACAGGTGGCATTCCATTCAAGGACGATTTTGGAAAATTTCTGGGATGGGCAGTCTGAAGGGGGAGTATATTGAGCAAGAACAGGTGGTCGGCCATATGTGTAGCCGAAATCATGTTGAAGGACAAGAACAGAGCAAGGTTCTGTCCTGGGTACTTTGATAGGTTTGGTAACTTCGAAGAAACGGGTGACAGGAACGTCTTTGGGGGCTGCGTGAGAGAGAAGCTCTGCTCCAAAGAGTCTTGTTTGGTGGAGATCTGCATCGGAAGAGAGTGGGTAGTGAAGGAAGAGAGAGAAAATGAAGGGAATGAGAAAGGAGGATGAAGCCATGGCCAGCTTGTCCTGCTCTCTCTGTGAATTTCGGTTTCACACAGAGACAAAGAGAGAGATGGAGAAAACAAATGCAAGCAAGAGGAGTTGCAGTTGCTTATAGCCTTAGACAAATGGAAGCAGAGAATTGAGCTAGTGTGTAATTCCCATGGAATCTACCATTCTAAATTGAAATCTTCCTGTCGCCACTCGCACACGCACTCGAACTTACTGTTGGCGGGTCCGACTGATAATTTTTTTTTCTTTTTATTGATGAATTTTTAGAGCTTGGATGCCTGGCCGTCACATGTGGTAGGATGTACATAATAATCGTTTTTCAGAATTTGCATTAGAAGAATATCATTGCGATCCAAATTTGATTCATTATCGAATCGAGATTCCAACTACGTTTTATTTAAAAATTTTTAGGGCACATTACATCAAAATTTCAACCCATCTTAAAATATGTCATGTATGTACTTATTTTTATTGGTTCATGTTTCACTAAAATACATTTATCCTTAAAAAATTGAACAACGTTAACCATTTTCACCACAGGTTGATTTATATAAATTATATTGCAGTAATTTCCATAGGATGCATCATAAAGGATTCTAGGTATGTAATCCAATATAATAATATTATGAAAAATTAGACACCTTTTCCTTCAAACCAAACACAGCCTTAATTTTCACTCGGAATTAAGGAATCAACAACAATCTTTGCAAAAACTTTACTCTCGGAGGCTTGTGCCCACTAGGTCCTCTACTCCTCTTTACATTCAACTTTTGCCCACCTACTTCTACAATGGCTTTTTGGACATCCGATAGCGATTCTATAGATTACTATTATTTTTTGGGAGAACCTTATCAAAGAAAGACATTTTTTTTCCTTAAGAATTTGGTGTTGGTTAGTGCAAAGCCCGTTTTAACAGCCTTTATAGCCTTGCATTGAGATTATCACCATATTTATGTATTTTATTTCATGGGAGATATTCCCAATACAAGGTTGTAAGAGGCTGTTAGAACGGTGTGAGCATGGACTTGTCAATTAATAGGGGTTTTCAATCAGAATCGGAAGTCTCTTCCAATTCCAATTGTTTGGTTGGGTAGAATCAGAATCTCATTCCCATTTTTGGTAGAGTGACATTACCCCCATTTGAGGGAATGGCTATTCCCTCCCCCTTCCTTGGGAATGAGATCCCATACCAGTTGATTTCAGATCTAATCCCGATTCCCGTTTGAACCAAATAAGATATAGGAATATACCATTTCGATTTTGATTCCACCACAAACCAAATGGACCATTAATTAATTATGCATCCATGTAGGTTTTGGATAACACGATTCCATAGTATATACTTTTGTGGATTAGTTGGTTTTGAAGCACACTACCCCTATTGGATGTTAGTGTTCTAAAACCATTGCACATGATTCTAATTTACAAAATATCGTTGATCTTTTTTCCCACAAACGATTTGTTGTATCAGACCCTAACATTTACATTCTACTATTGCACTTATGCCTCAGTTTAGGAGTATAAATACAAATATGTACAATACAAATACATACAAAATTACACAAAATATAAGGTTTTGCACTCTCTCAACTTATATTTATAATAGTCCTTCCAAACTGAACTTATAGGTTGTGGTATGGTTCAAAACATGCTATAAAATCTTCAGAAAAGAACAGATAGGCCCAATGCATATTTTTGATTTCCACTGCAAAGCTATAAACATTCGAAATGTCAACAACCCACACTCTATGCATCAACGCCCGCCCATGAATTGGCATCAATTCCGAACCGGCACCTACCCCAACAGTACTTTGGGCCTACAAATTCTGACCCTGGGATGAACCGTCATTCTCCCTAAAATCTTCCTAGAATGTGGAGGTCTTCTTCTTCTGTTTTTTGTTTATATACATGTTGATTAACCATAAAGGTGCAGAGATGAGCGGCTGCTACTTGGGCGCTCCATATCTGCACAAAAAGGAGAAAAAGAGTAGTTGCCATACAATATGGATCCGAGACATTTATCCCTCAAGCAAAATGCAAGAGAGAACTGCTAAATCTGGATGGGGTCGAAAATTTGGAGGTTACTTGACCTTCCAAGATATCTTTACTTTTTCGCATTTTACTATCTTTATGATAGTCATATAAATAGGTCTTTGCCCAATGCTCCCTTTATTGTTTTGAGGAGGGAACTTAACCAACTTAAACGTTTGGGGGGGAAGACCAAGTTAAGATCTCTCCAGATTGAGACAAATGTCTCATACTGACCAAGGCTCTAACCACTTGGTCATCCAGTCTAGACTAGGTCAAATGGATATCCATTGACCCAATAAGAGCTGGAACTTGGATCCAGAATAATCCAACAATATTGGTATCTCCGTACCAGTGTTTTAAAAGCGAAAGGCGCACAAAAAGTGATAGGTTCCAAATGAGCCTGAGGCGCAAGGCGAAGTGCATGCATTTTTAAAAAAGGCGCACAAAATTAAAAAAAAACTAAAAAAATAGAAAAAAACATGTAGAAATTCTAAGAAATCAAGAAAATATCAAAAAACAAAGTTAATTACTTAATTATTAGCTCCTATTTTTTTTGTGAACAAGAAGGAGAAGAAGAAGAAGAAGAAGAAGAAGGGGGTGAAGCCCCTGTTTTACTGTAAAAACATTTTAGAAGAAAGACAATGAAAACAAGACAAGTAACAAGAGTGGGCGGAGCCCTTGTTTTTCTGTGAACAAGAAGGAGGAGAAGAAGAAGAAGAAGAAGAAGAAGGGGGTGGGCGGAACCCCTGTTTTCAGTGTAAAAAAAGAAGAAACAAATACTAAAATACTTGATGTTGATTGCTGAAAGCCTGTTGGTCGTCTGACTAAGAGATGGCCTCTGATAGAACGTCGAACGTGGCTGTTCGATTGAGAGATGGCTTGAATTTGTTGATCCAAGAAGAACGTGGGGGCTGAGGGCTTGACACTTCGACTAATACTGGGAGTCTGAGAAGCCTTACATGGCAAGTTTTTTTCTCTCGAGAGGGTCGTGACTTTCTTTTGAATTTGCTATACCATATCCAACCATTTTGGCACATAAAAGGAAATAATCTATACACATTCTATCTATAAAAGTCAATTTAAAAACAAATTAAAAAACAAAAGGCAACAAATATAGGCGTGCGCCTGGACCGCCTGGCGCCTGGTCTGAGGTGCATGCCTTAGGCGCAGAGGCGAGCACCTTATTAAAGTGTAGGCACCTTGACCCATGCGAGATGCCTACTCTCGAAAATGCCTCGCCGCCTCAAGCGCGCCCGATGCACGCCTTTTAAAACACTGCTCCATACGTAAAAAGCATTTTCAAATAAACAATCAAATAAATTCATTTTTTGTAGAAAATAAATATATAGATAATAATTTGAGAAAACAAGTGAATGATTGTGTGTGAAAGTGTTGCATAGATAACCATAAAATAATCATCTTCCATCAACATGTGGCTTGTCACATGGCCATTGGATATTCCAACATGTTGAGGATCAAAACGAGGGCCTATGGCCACTCTACCAACATCTTCCACTTGGCCAGTTAGGCCCGTGATGAATAAGTGCCAACCAATCCCATTGCTTTGACGTGCCTTACATAATTTATAATTGCAATGGGTTTAGTCAATGGGTCAACAATCATTTATTTTGTAGGCAAGTATTCTACCAAGATCTATTCCGTTGGTAGACATCATTTAAGTACCGGTACCGGACATCAATATGTTTCACTTCAAGGCATGCCATGGTGGCATAACTGAGTATCTTCATAGTTCTCATCGGTATATCAAGAACTTTCACTGCTTTTGAACCCACAAATCTGCAAGTAATGAACTCAGTATGTACGACAAATTTAGGTACATAGCTTTGCTTTCTTGCTCATCGATGAGACAATTGATCCTCCTAAGAGGAATCAACACCCAATGGTGAATTTGCTATCATTTGGGTCACCTGCAAAAATAGCATGACACTAATCCAACACTTCCAAGTAATATGAGTTTGAAGTGTTTTACCGGCTTTAAAAATCCAAGTACTATTTTAATAGCTTTCCAATGGTCTCCTTAAGTATCTACTTATATGACCAACAACACATTATATGTATAAGCCACTTATAGATTTAAGCACAAGATCTGCTTTTCATCTTCAGTATTTCTTCATTTATGGGAGCCATATCTTAATATTATCTGGCAGATTTGAGTGCCATTCCCATGGCAGTCCTTGATATAAACTATCTTTTCTAAATAACGTTATTGAAAGATCTAAAGTTCTGACCCCCTTATCTCTTTGAGAAGCATTTTTCATTTTCAAATTGGATTTCAAACAAATATTATATTGATTATGGACACATCATTAATAATAATTGGGATGTGCTCTACACATAAGGGAAGAACAATAAACATTCTCCCACTATTCAAAGAGCCAGCCAAGAAAGGAATTAATAATAAACCTCCTCATAATCATTGCTTCTATTTGAGTATTCTTGATATACAAAACTTGCTTTATAATTTTCTATGGATCCCTCAATATTTATTTACACACTATAGGTTTTTGTTTTGATAAAAACAATTAATTCCCAAATTTGATTTTATTTATGGTTTCACACCATATCATGCGTTTTCCATAACATCTATAAAGACAGTAGGATTAAAAAAAAAGGCAATAAAATCAACATAAGGGATTGCTTATTTAAATGTAATAGTCCATTAATCTCAATGAAGGGAACCCTTTTGTTTGAAGAGGTAAAGTAATTAGACTCAAAAGTGTAAGATTAAGTACTATGAGAATTTGTACAAAAAAAAATGAAAAAAAAAAGATTATAACTAGGACTTTCAAAAATGGTCCACCCTCCCTGAATTTTGCTTTGTAGGGATACAACATCTTTTACTCTCCATTAAAACAATAGTTCCATCAGATTTATAACTAATAAATATGTGAACTTTGCCATTTTTACTATATGAATAGTATATAAAGGTACACTCAATGCTCATTGTTATCCAACTTACTTCTTTATTGATTTGATATAGAAATCATTAAACAAGTTGGAGATACAATTTCCCCTATTTCTCTTAAGGAATTTTTTTTTTTTTGGCATTTTATCTAATTAGATTTTCCTTAACCAAGTACACATGTCCAAGTCTAGAATCCATAACACATTCCCTTTCCCTATGTGTTTTCACATTCAAATGGCCACATTTATCTGAAAGGACAATTGCTAATAATTTCTTTGATACCTTTCCTTTCCTATAAGGGAATTGATTCTCGCTAAGATATGGTTCACAACATTCATAATGCATTCTCATTTTGTGCATTCGATCATTCGACCTCATTCAAATGGCCACTATCTTCAAATGGCATTGGGAAAGAAAGTCATCTTTTGGTTCCTCAAATTAAGGCTTGAAGAAAAAAATAAATAAAAATAAATCCTAGTGTATTGTAAGTAGCTAATACAACCTCAAAGCCTTGAGCATTTGAATAACTAATCTCTCATTTACAACCAATGCAAAGCACAAGGTAGTCATTGATTTGGCCAAGAATTCCGACAAAAGAAAATTTTGAGCCTAAAAAATTCTCATTGATTTTGGTCACACCAAAAAGTAATTGAAGCAAATACTTTTGAGTTGTAGCAGGCAGTTTTTGTGAGTAAAAATAGTAAAAAAAATGTGTGAAAAATGGAAAATAGCTGTTTACACTTAATTCCGTTGATCAATTTTCAGGTTCATGGACCTTGCTATCTGTCCTGTCAGCAAAAAAAACTTCGAACCCAAGAATGGAGCTCGTTTATAACTGGATAGCAATGAACGGAACCTCATACAAACAACAAAAATAGCAGTGAACAATTAATTTAGCAGAGTAATATTTAAAAAAAATGACAAATCAATAGCTCACAACCTTGGCGGAAATGATATAGGACCCAAAAAAAAAAAGAAAAATAATTAATGGTTAAAAAGAGAATCAAAAATAAAAAATGGTTTTGTAATACCCGATTTGAGCCTTGTGGCGATTCGTAGATAGAAATCCTTGAATCAAAGCAATATGGAAACTGATTTGAAACGCTTGGGCATGATTTACTGCTCGAATCGACCTTATCCGACTAAATGAATCTTGTAGAGATGGCAATCAGCAAAAAACCCTAAATTTATTTTGGGTTCATTCGGCTCTGATACCAGTGATTAACCCGTAAAGGTGCAGAGATGAGCGGCTGCTACTTGGGCGCTCCATACCTGCACAAAAAGGAGAAAAAAGTAACTGCCATACAAAAAGGAGGGAATTTAACCAGATTGGGACAAATGTCTCAGACCAAGGATCTAACCACTTGGTCATGGAATTTGGATCCAGAATAATCCAACAATAATAGTTTCTCTATGCATAAAAAATATTTTTAAATAAACAATTAAATAATTTTTTTTTATAAAAAAAAAAAATAATAATTTGAGAAAAACAAGTGAATGATTGGGTGTGAAAGTATTACATAGAGATAACCATAAAATAATCATTATCCATTAACATATGGCTTGTCACATGGCCATTGGATATTACAACATGTTGAAGATCAAAATGAAGGCCTATGGGTGTGAAAGTATTGCATAGAGATAACCATAAAATAATCACCGTCCATTAACATATGGCTTGTCACATGACCATTGGATATTACAACATGTTGAAGATCAAAACGAAGGCCTATAGCCACTCTACCAATACATGTGATGTGGCTTTGACCATACGGATGATGCTGAAGTATCTAGCTAGCACTACAATGGGTAGATCAAAAGGGATTGTTAAGTTGTGACCAATGAGTATCAATGATTTCTTGGCTTATTTAACGGGGCGCATAGGGGTTTTAATCACATTAAATATTAATTAACATGAGTGAGTTCAGATAGAATTGAACCTAAACTTTCTTAGCTTAGAAGTTATGCATTTAATTATTAAAGAAATAAAGAATATAATTAAGCATTGAGTAGGGTTTTTTTTTTGGCTTAGGAAGGAAGAAATGGAATTTTTTTCCATCTATAAATACTCGATAGGTCTTGTGGGGAATGGGCGCATATTTGAAAACAAATCTAGATCTCTAGAGGATTTAATTTCAGATATCTTCTTCTGTTGTAATTCATGGGCTGCTAACACTGAGATATCATGACCTCTCCCTTAATGATCTTAACAGAAATATCCAAACGATCTTACTTCTCCCAAATCACTCTCAACCAACCAAAAGTCTTCAGATACCATATATTGAAGCGGGGATGATTCTAAATTTTGATGGGAGTGTTGCAGGCAATCCAGGCAAAGCTGGGATAGGTGGACTTTTGAGGGATGAACAGGGACTGATCTGTTGGGCTATCAGTGGTCCAATAGGTATTACAGACTCAAGAAAGGCTGAAGTGATGGCAGCCCTCACTGGTATCAGAATAATAAAAACCTTGGACATTCAGAAATTATGCATGGTTGGAGACTCAGCTAATACCATCAAATGGCTGAAAGAGAAGGAGGGGGGCCCGTGGAGGTTGAGCCATTATTTGTGAGAGGCAGAGACTCCTTGGAAAATTTGAATGTTAATCTGATGTGGATCCCGAGGGAGATGAATCATATTGCAGATGGATTAACTAAATTTGGAGCAAACCTAAAAAATTTATACAGCAACAAGCTTCCCTCTTGTAATTCTGTATTTCTGCTGTTTTCTTTTTTAGTATATCTGCTCATGTACTCTTTGTCTCTTTCAATGAAATCTGTTTAATTTTTTCTCAAAAAAAAAATAAAAAATAAATAACTAAATACTCAATAGGTTATAGCCTCGGGGCAAGTCATTTTGATTTAAGCCTTCAATTTTCTCTCATTCCCTTTCTTCTTCCTCTTTGGCTTTGACAACGCCATTAAGGCTCAGTTTGGAAAAAGTACAAATACAAATATATACAGTGCAAATACATACAAAACAAAGTAAATATAAGATTTTGCACTCTATAATGGAGTTGCAACTGTAGCTTGTGTTTCCTTTCTCATTCGTATCTCTTTTTTGTTCATGTTTCCCTTCTCAGCTTTGAATTCAGGGGCGTATACTGTACATCAGACCCAATTAGTGGGTGAGCCCCACTAGCAGTCACCATTCACTGAAGAACCTTCCCTTCTCTAAGTGAGGGAATGCTCAATGACCAAATTAATTATTGAGTCATCAGAAGATATATGCTTTTCATTTTTTGTTCTTAATTGATATTGAAATAACACGAAATGGGGATTATGCTACATTTGGAACTTAGTGGGTATGATTTTAGAAATATGAAAAAAACTAGTGCAATAATTCCCTGCACTATCCTTTCAAGGTTGAAATATTTGTGGGGTCTGAGAGAGAGGGAGAAGAGAGAATTGGAAGATTTCATGTCAATAGGAGGGACAAGTTAAAACCAATCACTCTTACGTACTCGACAAACGTTACTACGTTAGGTCTATTCGCTCGCTAAAGGCCCCAATTCCTCCTTGTCTCTGTTTAGAATGAAATGTTCAGAAAGATGAACAGGGTATTTCCATCAATCAATGAAAGATCAGTATCCTGGTCCATGGACAATCTGGGCATTTTGAAAAAAGAATTTAAACTAATGCATCATTATTCACGGGTTTGATCATAGTACGGAAAAGGCATGAATCCCAGAAAAATTTACAGCCAAACCAATGACCAATCAACCCGTACCATAAAAGAGGTGACCAATCCAGTGGTATTCGAGGTGCTTTGATTGGTTGAAGTTCTTTCAACAATATTTTAGAAATTTATTTTGAACTGGAACCATTCTAGCCACTGGTTTTTAGGTTGATGGTTCGATTTAAATGAACAGTCCATTTTTATAAAAAAATTTAAAAAATTAAAAAATAAGTAAAATAAAAAACGACAAAGAACTATTTGAATGGGTCAACAGTTCAATTGCCCGAGTCAATGGATCGTTGACCAATTCAACGATTTTTTGGCCAGGGACCAGGTTTAGGGTAAAATGGAACTGGTTGCTTGGATGGTTGTCGAGTCGAATGGTTCGACTATCCGGGTCAAAACATTGTCTTTCAGTACCATATCTTTCCCGTATCATAGATTTTTCTTCATGTATATATTGTCATTTTCTTTATTGGTTTCATGTATTTCAAATCTTCATCTTCTTGATTACTTCATATATCTGCTCTAGTCCATCGTTTGTAAAGCCCCAAGTATAGCTAGTAGTAGTATTCCATATGAATACATGATTGAGCCATGGTTATAATATAATGGAAATGTCTAAGATTGTGTTTGATACCATTACTGTTGTTTCTACGTGAAGTATTTTTTAGACACCTAGATGGAGCATACATGCTTCTTTCTTTGTGTTGATCCACAGCAACTATTACCCTCCGCTCTTTAGCTCAAAATTCAGCTATATTGAAATGTGGCAGCCGGATTTGATCCCAGGTCTCTGTTACAACGAGTCAAAGGTCCTACCAACTGAGCCACACACACTGTCGTTGGTAACCTAATAAAAATAAAGTAAGGAATGTTATTGTTGCAATCTAACATTCCAAGTTTAAGAGACCAGATTATAGTTGGTACACACAACCACCTATTTTCACTTTCTATATTGTTTATGCATTTTTTATAGTTTTATTCGACCATATAGATCCACCCCTCTCTCTCTCTCTCTCTCTCTCTTCTCCCTTTATTGGAAAAGGAAGATAGATTGAAAGTTCAAGCTCTGGAACTGAATATGTAATTAACTATAGAGGTTCCTCATCTATCCAGCGCTTATACATGGCCAAACACGCCTTGGGCTGGTACTCTGGAGCTGTGTGTCCTCCGCCCTGTATGAAAACAAACATTACATCAGCTTTCCTTTGTTCTATTACTATGGATATTCCATTTTCCACTGAAGAAAGAAAGAAAGGAAAAGGGCAGAAGAATCAGATTGCCTTCACAGTCGCAAATGTCATGTTATTGGAATATGTCCTTGTATATCTGCACCAGAACCAAACACACCATCTCTGCAACTGTCATTTCTAACTTCAATTGAATTCTCATATTAATTCAAAGACGATGTTGGCATTCATGAATTTGCGAAAAATCAGACGTAGGACCTACCCTCCAACTTGTCCATCCACAACCCAAGACCTCCAGCCATCAACAATGGAGTAATTGAGAGAATGTATCCATGCTTGAGTGGCCAAGAATGGCACTATAAGGTCATGATCACCGCTGTTTTTAAGTGCAGAAGCCTTTACTATATTATCAAAATGTCACTTGGACGTTACACAATACAGAATGCAAGATAAGATATCTCTCACCTGTAAATAAGAGAACGGTATCCTTTCCGGCTTAGATTTACATGATAACTGAAGCTGCTTTGGATTTCAGCTGTATAAGACAACCCATAGTTGCACCTCCGCCATTCTCCAATTGATCCCTGTTTTCATCATCACATTCACATGGATAGAGGGTGTTAAGAGGATAATAACCTATTCAAGACCTCACCTAACATCTTCAAGCTTTTAGGTTGAACTGTTCCTTAAGATGGTATTAGAGCCTGTGTGATCAAGTGGTCTAGTGTTCAAGCCTCATCACACCATTCATGATTAATTAACTTCAAGCCCAATGGGCTTTCATGTGAGGGGGCATGCTAGAGAATAAAAACCTATTCAGGGGCCTCACTTAACAGCTTAAGCTTTTAGGTTGAACATTTCCTTGAGAGAAGTTCCTTGCTTTACAACCATTTACTTCCTTAAAGTGATTCATTACAAGGATTCTCGATGGTATAATACTCATACCTTTCGAATGTTCAATGCTTTTCGGACATTATCATCGTTAGCCCAATAATATGACAATAGATAGCCATCAGTCTGAAACAAAAAAAAAAAAGAAATAAACTTGTAGTGCAATTATGAACCTTTTGTGACATTAGCAGACGAAAGCAGAGAGGATGACAGAGATATATACCCTGCAGAATTCTGTAGAAGAAGGTTGTGGGTCAAGGATCTCTCTGGAGTTGTCCTCAAGATATCTTCTATCCCCAAATTTTTCTTTTGGCTTTGGGGATGCAAAGCCACAGAGTGGTTCCAAAATGTGTGCAGTATTAATTCCCGAAAGACACTGCAAATGCAATATGATCAAGCTCTACCATTTGGTTTTAACAAGGATGCATGTAAGATGACAAAAGGAATACAGAATATATAGAAGAAAACTCCCACCTCAGAGAAAGCCTGCATATCCTGTAAACACTGTACATTGCTGGGATTTATATTGACATACTCCCCTTGGCAGTTTATTTTGGCTGACTGGAAGAAGCCATATCTCTCCTTGTGTCAATTAATTCTTGCACATAGCCAACTACGCTTTGGGAACTAGGACTTTCTGTTTTCAATAAGACAAGGATTTGAGAAATTGATTTACCTGGTAGAGTTCATCTGATACGAGTCCCAGTCCATGAGCATGTGGTAGTTGTTTGTTGCTGTCATAACTCACATCCGTTACAGGATTACCAAGTAAATATCCCTGGAACCATATTCCAGATGGTTAAATATTTTATGGACTAGCTCTTGTCTGTAATTCTACCACAAGCTCAAGGAATTAAACAGGTTAATAAGTTGATATTATACTAGTTGATTATTTCTATGTTTGTCATGGGAAAGTTATGCGGAGTTTCTGAAACTGCACTGAGATATGCCCAGTGCTGATTCTGCTATCTGCAATAACTACAACTGCTGCTGCTACTACTACTTCTTTTTAATACTCTAAACAGGGTTGTTTATTTATTTATTTTATATTTTCACAACCAAAGAGATGTATATGACAGAAATTAAATGAAATGATTTCTTTTGTGCCTGTCTTCTGAAAAACATTAATTACTTACTTTGATATTGATGAATGGTTCTTCCCCTGCATCATTACCTGCAATATATTACAAACTTGAAGATACATTAAGCTGCCCTTAATTTGTATGCTATGCACCAGGAAAACAAATTGATTTTCAGCCATTTGAAATTTGGAATGTAGAGGGTTGTTATGTAATTAAAGGTTGTGTTTGGGTATTCAATGATCCAATCTGAAATTGAATTAGAGTAGTACTATAGGCTGAGTTTGGAAGGAGTACAAATGCAAATATGTAGAGTGAAAAATCTTATAATTTATATTATTTTGTATGTATTTACCCTGTACATATTTGCATTTGTACTCTTTCCAAACTGAGCCAAAGGGAATATTTCTTGTTTAACACCCAAACTAGAGAACATAATAGTAGGAAACTGAAGCAATATAATTACCCTCTTCACCTGCCAGACTTTAGCTGAGGAGTCCTCTGCTCTGCCACATGGCAGAAGAAGAGTCCCGTCTTCCATGTTTAATAAATTTTAGGCTGTATTTGGTTGCAGTGCAAATCTGAACCAAATTTTGCATTTGGTTCAGTTTTGCAATTGTTTGTTTGTAATTATGGTTGTAAGTGGGTTGCAGTACACATTTCATTTGCACTGATGTAAATGCATTAGAGTGCAAAGGAAAAGCTTTGCACTTGGAAACGTTCTTGAACATGACAAATTATCATGGGTAAAAGAGTAACTGCCCTCAACATTTTTTTTTGACCGAAAAAACAAGCAGAAGCAAGGGAACTGAAAGGGTTGTTGTGTCATGCCCAAAATCGTTTCTAATAGGAAGGTTTTCTCAAGTGCATAAGGGCTTAGTGTAAAGTATTCTGGTTTATTTTTGCTTGAGTTTTGACTTCATCTTATTTGTTTGTGAGAAGTAAAATGGGTGATCTCCATTTTAAATGAGAGAGAATAGAGGTAGGAAGAGGATTATCTGTCTAGAGGAATAAGTTAGGGTGCAAGATGATGTGATTCCCACTATTTAAAAGGAACTAAGGTAGGAAGAAGTGGTGCAAATTTTGCATTAGTTTTTGAATGTAAAATTTGCATTTCATGCGGGTGCAAAAGAGGCAAAAGGTATAAGGCCCCGTTTGGTTCTCAAGAATAGGGGTCTGGAATCAGAATTGGAATAGGCTATTCCGATTCCAACTATTTGGTTGGGTGGAATCGGAATCCTATTCTCATTCCTGTTGGAATGGCATTTCCCTATTTGAGGGGATGGCCATTCCCTACCCCTCACTTGGGAATAAAATCCCATTCCTGCTGATTTTAATTCCCATTTCTATTCCTATCTGTATCAAATAGACTATGGAAATGGATCATTCCAATTCCAATTTCAATTCCAACTGTAAACCAAACGACCCTAAATCTTATATCAGATGAGAATGCATTCATAATCAATAACAACTGTTCAGAGAGAGAGAGAACCATTTAATATATCTATAACGACAAGCGGGGCAGTCTTGCCAGAATATGAATCCCCACCGATATAAACTGCATTTGAAAGGAACTCCGGATGATCCATCAACCACTGCAAATATATATGAACACAACCAAAACCAGTGTAAGTTGAGATATACATGTGGGGCGCCAGTAACCAAAGTTTTAGGTAGTTCATATTAATACCTTCCTCAGAAATTGATAAGCTTGTTGACATGATTTTATGTCGCCTGTTTGAGAACCTTGAAAGCTACTTGAATATGAGAATCCTGTTCCAATAGGTGAATCTAGAAATATTATGCTGGATGCCTGCAAATTGTAAACAAAATATCAGTTTGGATCTTCTACTCCTACCTCTAGTACACTGCAGCTGCAAATCACAACATGTAATTAAGTAGGGATGCACCTCGGGTTGGCCTTGGGATGCTTTGGGCTGAGCCCATTCAAATTTTGATAAAAAATTAACCCGGGCCTACCCAAATTGTATCTTTGCATGCAAGTATGAAAGATATTTCCAATGTTTGGCTGTAGTATCATGTGGGTGTGGGCAGACATTCTTATGGGTAGCAGTTCTGAATGCATAAAATATTAATATATCAACAAATACAGATTAGCTGAAATCTTTAGCTGTTCAGAAGGCTGTGGAACCAATACAAATGCCCCATGCCCGTGATAAAAAATACATGGGGCCCATACTGAGAGATTGAATGATTGTGGGTCCCATGTAACAAAAAAAATTGAAATCATATTTTTTATCTACCTATAAAGACTTAGGCCCCGTTTGCCGCGTCTTTTCATGCAGTCTTTCGGTTGCTTACAAGCCGGGAAGACCGAAAATCGATCTATTCCTGTTTGGCACACAGAAGATCTCGCCGCCAAAAGATGGGGTGCTGAAAAGACGTGGGAAGCCCATTTTGGGCTGATTTCGGGAAGCTCCAAATGAAGCTTCCCGTGTCTTCCGCGTTTTAATCTCGTGCGAAAGGACCCAAAATGACGCACGGAAAGATGTGCATCTGCCAAATGGTCTTCGGACTGCCCAGATCTTATGTCAAAAGCTCAATGCGTCTATTGATTGTCAAAGCTACGAGAAGATCTTCTCAAAAAGACTTGCCAAACGGGCCCTTAATATGTTCTAGATCTACGGATTATCTATCATCTCCATAGAGCAATTGCAATTTCTTCTCCAATAATTATTTTTTTGAATATATTATATAACATTATTTATTTTTAAATTTTTATAATTTTTGAAAATAAAAAATAAATAATAATTATTTAAATAAAAAATAATTATTAATTATATTTGCACTTAGAAGTTGTGCAAATGCATGTTTTATGATTGGATAGGATAATTGGTTTTTCCATCCCTAACTTAAGAATTATAATTTATAAATTATAGTTAAGCATAGGTTTTTTAATGAAACTATAATTGATTACAATGTATTTCTTCATAAAACCATTAAAATATATTAATTTAATGTATGTGCACCTCATTGAGGCATTATACTTAGTGTTATTGATGCTATTTTATGATTTATTAAAGTATTTATTGTATTTTCGTGCTTATTTATGTGTATCTTAATTTTTTCTCCAATACACATACATATCCAAAACATATCTAGATATGTCTCTTAAAATTACCTTTCCAATACACTTGCATTTTTTATACTTTAAACCTTGGCTAATATGTAATAATGACATAAACTAGCATGCAATATCCAAGTGAATAGTGGGAACAACAAGGGAGGGAGAAGGGATTACAAGTAATGCACCTTGGTCCATGAGTAGGGGTTCAATGCTAAACTAGGCAAGCTCCCATTGTATTTCATCGTCTCAATGCGTAGTGGACCTACAGTTAAATTGAAAGCTTCATTCCACCATGAAATAATGCCCTGCCATTTTCAGTGGTTTGAAGAAACATTTTCCTTCTTTCTTTCTTTCTTTCTATAAAGAAGAGTGAGAGTTAATCCTTCATAGGCAATGTGGGATAAGGAACGACACATGGTTCAACCTGTAAAGCAGCTATTAGGTTTATCTAATCATTTCTCTATCAATTTATATGCATGTCCAATTAGACCCAAGCTTTTCATGTTTTTTTTTTTTTAAAAAAGACCAAGTCTTTTTCAAGTTAATTAGTTTGGTTAATCCCATTGCCCATAAAATTGGGATATCCTCCCAATAAAAAACTGTCCCAACACAATTCCAACATATGTATCTTATTACACTGTAAGACTGGGACCTGATGTAGGTGTTGGAATGTCTTTTATTGGGAGGACACAATTATATTTAATTAGTTGGAATGCGGACTTTATATTTTTATATAGAATGAGGCGCACTTTATATTTTTTATTAGACCACATCGTCAATTGTTTCTTTGTCGCACACTACTTCTAAGCAACTGAGCATGCGGATAAGGTGTTAAGGATCCATGAAGTTGCATGGAATAGGTGCCTAGAATTCGAATCAGTGGTCCATTCTGATTCCAATTTTCCCATATGGGAGAATGCCATTTTAGACTTCACCCTTGAAAATAGAATTCCTGATTAGTATATTGTATTTTGGACCTAGTGCCGCTTTGGTCTTTAAATTTAAATGCAATAATTCAGTACCCCAATTCTCAAAATGTGTCAATTCAGTACCTACTATTAATTTACTGTTCAATGTCTCTGCAAAAGACACAAATGCCCTTCGAGTGTTATCTAATTTTTTTTATCAACCATTGGCAGAAAATTAATAATCCCAAATTCTTGCTTCTTCTATTCAAGAAAATTGGGGGCATGTCTTAATGGACATTCTGGACCCCAACTTTCTTGAATAAAAGAGACAAGGTTATAGGACTGTTAATTTTTTGTCAATATTTGGATGATTGATAAAGAAAATTAGATGACACTCGAACCACATTTGTGTCTTTTTCAGAGACATTTAATGACTAGTTAATGGTAGATATTGAATTGACACATTTTAAAAATTCAAATAATGAATTATTGCATTTTAAAGTTTGGGAGACCAAAGTGGCATAGACTCAAAGAACATGGTACTAATATAAAATTTTCCCTAATAATAAAATAATAATTTTTGATTCATTCTGATTCCAACTCAAAATGAATCAAACAACAATGATTGGAATCCAACTCCAATTTTATATGACCCAAACAAACATTAGGAATAAGTGATTCCAATTCCAATATTGATTATGAACAAACGGATTCTTAAAATTCCTAAAAAGGCTATTGCACAATGAGAAGACGGAAGAGTCACCGACTTACTGTCGGGAGCACTGGGGATCTTCTACGGTTCTACCTGAAAAGGCAAAAACTTTTCCACGTACTCTACCTACAACCACAAGACACTACCACCGTGTATTGAGGATTCTGATTTCTGAGGTTCAACACCCCAAACAAACCTGCTCTATTCATTCATACAACATTTATTTTTAATTAAAGTATGACAATATCCATACCGGAAGAAGTTTGAGAAATTAAAAACACGAATACCAGATGACTGGTTATCACTCTTAATATTATATCGTTATCAGTTTTTTCATATCAAGTCCCCTTTTGAACACTTCGCCTCTGTACTTTTTGGGATATCTTTTTTGATGTAAATTGGGAACTGCGTACAAAGATTAATCTTTTGGAAGTTATTTGAACTGTTACAGACATTTTTTTTTTAAATTGGAGTGAAAGAATTGAAAGAGAAAAGAAAAAAAAATAATGGAGAAGAAAGCAAATACCGATCTCAAAAAGAAGTCCTGATAAAGCAGAGCAACCAGGACCTCCGGTGAGCCAAAGCATAAGCGGGTCGTGCTTGGGATCCCTCTCTGACTTAATAAAGTAGTAGAAGAGATGCACATCCTCCGACTCATCCACACTCACATAGCTGCCAAATGCCAACATATATCCAGAACTACTTGTTAGTTAAGCTCAATCAAATCAAAGGAGGCACCTATCTATATACCTTCATCGAATCTCTTCGTCTATATGTTTATATATTTTATGTATGTAGAGATCTACAATAAAGAGATTATGATGCCGTATCGTCTACCCAGTTTCTAACTCGAACGGAAGAGGGCCCTGAAAGCCAGGGAGAGATTGAATTCTTGAACCAGAGAGTGCAAGCCGTGAGGACGAAAGCAGTAGAAGCAACAGACAGAGGAGACCAACAGAGATGATGGTTGCCGCCATTTCTCATGCCCAGCAGGCAGCAGCGCCGGTGATGGAGCCTGGAGGGGAAGATAACTGATAAAATGAGTGAACGATGTGGGTGCAACGGGTGGTTGTCCGTTATCTCTAACAGATGAAGTAAAATATATGTCTCGTACACACCCAGAGGCGCAAATTTGGGCGGTGGACTTAATGGTTGCTTCCAAGGAATGAAAATTTCCAAGTTAAAATGGTTTGGTTGTCGTTAGAGTGGAGCTAGAGTGCTTCTCTAACGGGTTATCCTTCTAATCAATGAGATGAGACAAACCAAGTAATGTGTCATGTGCAAAAAGAATGTCAGTTCGGATCAGATAGGGCACAATGTTGTAATCACATTAAATGAGTACCTACAAATTTTTCTTGTGGCGACTGCTCTTAAAAGTCTTCACGCTATCTCTTTATTATGAGTTTGAATCACCTGCCCACAAAATACGTTCCAACACCCTCCCAACATCTCATTCATGGCTGGTGGGTCTCGAACTCATGGTGACAAATTGGTAGGTGATCCAACTCCTTTAATATCACATTCAAGTTAATTGGTATATGAAAGGGGAAAAAAAAAAGTAATTAAGGCTTTATTGAAGAAACGTTTTGTATAGGATTTTTATTGAAAAACTAAAGGTGAGCAGTAAATAAACACCATTAATAAGATTGATAAACATTTTTTGATATTGTATGATAGCTAGGCATAGGGGTGAGCATTTGGTTTGTTCGGTTCAAAACTGAACCGAAAAAACTGGATTTTTTATAACCAATCTACTGTAGGCTAAAACCGAAATTGGTTGGAACCGATCAAACCGAACCAAAATTTTATTTGGTTATTTTGGTTAAAAACCGAAATAGAAATCCACCCCCAAGTCCCCAACCAAAAGGCAAAAGCATTGATCCTTGGCACAGCCCAATGACAAGAGCTCCAACTTGCCCACTAGGCCCAGGCCCACTGCGATACCAAAAGACCTTGAAATAAATAATTTTAAACCCATCTACTAGATTATTTATTTTGGTTGGATGAAGAAAACTCAAATGCCAAATGTTCCAGTCTTCGAAATATAACATATTAACATTAAATCAATGTAGGGAGAAAACAAATATGTCAAGAACTCTAGATATACAAATATAAGTGATGCTACGCGATCCAGGCATTCCTAGCTGGTTGGAACTTGGCTCCTATCTGTGATTGACGGCACCTGAGACGAAGAGGAACGTGAAGAGTTCCCGGGTAGCTCTCCCGGCGGGAACACTCCGATGCTTAAGTTAGAATTCTGAGAAAACTTGAGGAAATGCAGAGAGAAAACTAAGAGTGCTGATTGCGCTAGCTTCAATACCTTTTTTTCGCAAGGGTTGGGGTTCTCTTATATTGGAGTTCTGTCAAATCTGGCTTAACCGCCTTTGCCGCAGCCGTTACTGCCAGAGCCGAGGTGGCGGATGTGGGCAGCCGTTGCAGGGTATGGACCTGTCAGGCGCGCCACATCTAGCAGAAGTGGCAGGCACGACGTCTTGACAAGAGACGTGGGCACAGCCTCCGGATTCGACGGGTACTATTGTTAGGCAGATCTTTTCTGTGGGTTGCCGAGCTACTTTGCACCGAGCTGCCATGGCCCGAGCTACCCTACACCGAGGTGTCGGGGTAGCCGAGGTGTGAGTGTTCGAGTCGAGCCTTAGGCAAATATGGGCAGGAGCATTGGTTGGATTATCCTGAAGTGTCCCCACTTCGGGGTACTTCCTGTAGACTGGGGTGTTCCCTTTTCAGAAGGAAGAGTTTGGGTCTCGGGAGGAGCTCGGGGCCCACCAGGGGGAGTTCGGGTCTCTGGAGGAGCTCGGTAGTCCTCCTCCCTTAGGGAGAATTCTGAGTGTACTAGATCATTCTACTCGGCGAGCTGCTACGTCCGTCGGGCCACGTCGTTGGGCTCTGGCGAGTTTAGTACACCGAGTTATGGTCAGGCTGCCATGCTGACCWGTCACTTATGCCAGGTTGTACCCACGTGTCCCCACGCTACGAGGTCGGGCCAAATCACCCTCCATCAATTGTCCCCACTCCCCGTGCTGGGGGTTTTGACCCAGTGCGGGGAGTCCGTGGTGTGCCGGGTGGATTTGGCTCGGAGCTCTGGCCTCCTGGTCAGGCGGCTTATGGGTCAGACCAGCTAACTGCTTGGCTTGATCAAGGGCAATCCGAGTCGCATACAGTCTACGCGCGGATGTCACGCGATTTATGAACTCCGTAGACGTCAAAAAACGCGCTAAACCGATTTCGCCTCGAGGATCGCGTAGCCGGTTTCCTTGAGAGCCGTCAGATCGTCTTGATCTTGACCGTTGATGCTCGAGTACAGTGGCCATAAATAGCGGGGGTCCTGGTCGTTTTCCCTCGCCATAAGTCCTCAGCACTTGTCTTGAGCTCGCGTCTAAGGTCTCCAGCTCGGGTCAATTATTCCTAGTTTGGTTGCTTTATTTGGTGAGTCTCCTTTGCTTTTCTTTCAGTTTCCTTTCCTTCCAGTTCATTTCTTTCCTTCGCTATGTCTAGTTTCGATAGTCAACTGGATGAGCCCGAGGTAGGTACCTCGGCTCAGGGTGACCCCACCGAAGTCCAGTCTCACAAGGCGCGGAAGGCCTCGGTTAATCTGGCGTCCACCTCTCACTGAGGTCGGATGTCAGATAGGTTCAGTCCCTCCATTATGACCTTGGAGAGGCTTCGGTACCTCATCCAGCAATACAATTTGCCTAGGGAGTATACCTACAGTCTTCTTGTGGGTAACTTCCCATGGGAACACGGTCCTAATGAGATTGTGATCTTTCGGGAGCAGCTTATAGCTGGGCTCCATCTCCCTTTCCACCCTCTTATCGTAGAGGTCCTAAACCACTTCAATGTCACCATAGACCAACTTCACCCAAACTCCGTTCGTAACGTGGTCGGGACCATATCCCTGTGCTTCGAGTATGCTCTTCCTTTGAACCTTGATATTTTCTGCTCAATCCTCTCAATAAATAAGAGCGCTTCAAGCGTTCTCCCCGAGCACAGGCGGGCTTACTACCTGTCCCATCGATCGGGTTTCAAGTTGTTGCACAAGCTTGCTAGCAATGTCCCAGCCTGGAAGCAGGACTACTTCGTAGTCCGGAACACCGCGGGGTGGCCTTTCCCCACTCATTGGAGGGCAACCATCCAAGACCCCGACGTTATCCTGAATAAGAAAACAAGGGAGACGCTCCAATCATGGGCTGAGCTCGAGTTTAATTACAAGGATTATATTGCCAAGAGCAAGCTCATATAGGCCGGCTTGAGCCCGGGTAGGTTGTCTTACTTAGTACCTTGTTTAAATGATTGATACTTTTGAGTTTACTAATGCCGAGCTGTGTTGCAGGGCCCATGTAAGAAGAGAAGCTTAAGGGGGAGAGACTTTTCTGCCAGATGAAAGGGAAGAAGAAGCGAGCTGCCAAGAGAGTTCGCATCGAGACTCCGCAGGCCCCCACTTCCGAACCTGAGCTTCCGCAGGCTCCTACTTCTGAGCCCGAGCTCCCTGACGTACCTCCGATCATCGACTTGGAGGAGATCCTGCCACCTCGGGAGCCCGAGACCTCGGTAGAGCCTGCCCCTCAGGCAGCTGCGGAGCCTAAGGTCACCATCGAGGCCGCTGATGCAGCTGCTGAAGCTTCCGCCGAGCCCATCCACACAGCCGAGACGGCCATTTCCAACTCGGGGAGTCTGGGGAGGGAACGAAGCATCCTGATTCCTCAGTGCAGCCTTCGAAAGAGCAAGGGGGCTGCCTACACCGAAGAGGTCTCCCTTTGGGATGACCTCGCTCCTGCTCAACTCGGAGCCCGGGCTGCCACTCACACAATGGTGGTAAGTTATAAAGACCCTTTTCTCTCTTCCCTTTTATCCCCCTTTTTGTACATCTCTTTGGTGCTAACCAATCCTCTCCGGTAAGGTGAACTCCGCCATGCACGCCTTGACTCTTCAGTCCGAGAGGTATCTAAAGCGGGCTCTAGCTGCGGAGGACTCGACTTGTGCAGCCCACGCCGATCTGAGGACAGCTCGGGATCACATTTATCAACTGGAGAGTGATGCTTCAGCTCAGAAGAATGTCATCGAGGCGCTGATGATAGAGAAGGAAGAGTTGGCACGCGAAAGAGATGAGTTGAAGAGCGAGGTGAGCGCCCTCCAAGCAGGCAAGGGGTCTCTGGAGCTCGAGGTGAAAGGCCTTAAGGAGGATCAAGGGGTCCTGTAGCATGAGGTGGAGTTCCTCAAGGTTGATATCGAGGAGAAAACCGAGATCTTCAACTAGGCCATAGAGGACACCAAGGTTAAGGCCGTTCTAGACTATGTCAGATTGAACAAGTTTGACGCCGTGCTAACGGAGGCCTATCGTAAGGGCTTCGAACTGAGTAGGTGGTTGATAAGGCACACATACCCCGAGATCGATACGAGCGCCATCACCACCTCGCGGATCATGGACGAGATAGCCCGCCAGGCCACAAAGGATCCGGATTCTGAGGAGGAGAGTGGCGACGAAGAGGCAGATGCCACCGACTTGGCAGAAGCTCCTGAAGAGGTCCCGAGTAAAGATGAGTCCCCCAAATAGTGTAGCCCTTGTATCTTTGAGCCTATGAGCTCAGTTTTTTTTTTTTTTACCGAGCTCGTTGTACAAAACTCTCAATCAATGAATTTCACTTTTTTGCCAAGTATTCCGCACCTTGTGCTTTTGTCAGTGGCTGCTTTATCCGAATTGTTTAGTGTCTGAAGTAGGATTTTTCATCCGTCGCCACCCCGAACTGTCTCCCAGTACTTTGTAGGGTGGCCTTTATAACGTACACCAAGGTGAGCGACATAGTAAGGCATATGCCCGACTTGTCTACTCCTAGGTTACTTGGATTGACGATTGTCCCTAGTGGGGTCAACCTGTTGTATGCCGAGGTGGGCTATGTACCGTAGGGTCCACACCCGAGCTGCTTGCATCCTTGGCATACTGAGCCTACGCTGATGGGGCAGTTAGGTCGTATATAGTGCCGAGACCCTTAGTCAACTCAGCGTTTTAGCCCTTTGGCTGGGGGAGTGGCTTAGTCACACCTTTCCTAGAGTTTGCCCATGCCGAAGAGGCGACTG